TATTATTACAGACAACTTAATTTAGCGAATTTTGCCTGACTAAATTTCATTGAAAATGCTATTGTAGGCCTCGTTAAATCGCCAATACGTTTCGGTTGAGATCACCAAATCAATTCAAAGATCCAACTTCCATTGTCAGACTGATTTTGGTGATTTAAAACCAAACCTGAAGAAGTTTTTGCTTAAACTAGTGTCCCTAAAGTATCATTTCATGGGTAGTAATTGTCTTAAAATATTGTTTACGAAAATCTCCACTGGTTATTGTTGCGCATTTCTTAATTGCTAACGTTCAGTGGAATCAGAAGCTCCTTGGTTGGAACTATTTAGAGTCTGATAAGTGGCGGGTATAATTCAGTCCCAATGGCGGATCCAGACCTTGAGCTAAGGANCTCCCTTAGATCCGTCACTGATTCCTTGGTACTACATCATTTGAAACTTTCTTTTTGTCCACACCTTATGCCATTTCGGTTATAATCAATTAATAAAAGTCTTGCCATGTCCAACTATGCAATAAACTTAAGCAGTACTCATGTCAACGTTTTTAGGCGGTGTAACGGCAATAAATTGAAAAGCTAAAATATATTGGAGACGCCGATATCGACACTAGTCACACTTGATCTCGTGATATATTTTGATGTTCTCAGCTAAATCCCTCCCTATGTCTCGATTATGTCTCATTCACTCTGATAACAAAGGCAAAAGAAAGTTCCTTAAACTTTTGATAAGTTTGTTAAGGAAACACTTTCTGCGCCATTGCTAAGATCATTATCAAATGTAACGCTAAACAATTGTCACGCATCACGCACTAACAATGATTGTCACGCTCTAAATATTTCTAACAAGGAAGTTGTTAACTGTTATTGCTGACTGACGTTTCTCCCAAGTGACTGTCCTGGACGGAGCCATCTTCGGAGTCAAGTCGCTCTTGACTCTTAAAGATGGCTTCCGCACATCGGTCACCGATAGCAGTTCATTTCAGAATTTCCCTAACCCAGACGATCACACTAGACGAATTACTGTGCATCATTTGTAATCTAGAAGACTTCTCTATTTTCTTATGTTCTACTTGGACTGTTCTACGTACCACATCAACCTTTCGCTTCAAAATTCTCTGAAATTAAGAACTCTCCGCGAACTTCGCGAACTAACATACTGAACTGAAACATTAAAGTAAAAAATATTTGTACAAAAGAATGTCACGTGCACGCGAAACTTGTTACATTCGTTGGCATTCTNCTTTCTTTTTTTTTTTACCCAAACTAAGGGGGGAGGGGGGACCGGGGCCCCTCCCTTAGATCCGCCACTGACTCCTTGGTACTACATCATTTGAAACGTTCTTTTTGTCCACACCTTATACCATTTCGGTGATAATTAATTGATAAAAGTCTTGCCATGTCCAGCTATGCAATAAACTTAAGCAGTACTCATGTCAACGTTTGTAGGCGCCGTGTAACGGCAATAAATTGAAAAGATAAAATATATTGGAGACGCCAATATCAACACTAGTCACTCTTGATCTCGTAATATATTTTGATGTTCTCAGCTAAATCCCTCCCTATGTCTCGATTATGTCTCATTCACTCTAATAACAAGGGCAAAAGAAAGTTCCTTAAACTTTTGATAAGTTTGCTAAGGAAACACTTTCTGCGCCATTGCTAAGATCATCATCAAATGTAACTCTAAACAATAGTCACGCAGCACGCACTAATAATGATTGTCACGCTCTAGATATTTCTAACAAGGAAATTGTTCACTGTTATTGCTGACTGACGTTTCTCCCAAGTGACTGACCTGGACGGAGTCATCTTCGGAGTCAAGTCGCTCTTGACTCTTAAAGATGGCTTGCGCACATCGGTCACCGATAGCAGTTCATTTCAGAATTAGCCTAACCCAGACGATCACGCTAGACGAATTACTGTGCATCATTTGTAATCTAGAAGACTTCTCCATTTTCTTGTGTTCTACTTGGACTGTTCTACGTACCACGTCAACCTTTCGCTTCAAAATTCTCGGAAATTAAGAACTCTTCGCGAACTAACATACTGAACTGAAACATTAAAGTAAAAAATATTTGTACAAAAGAATGTCACGTGCACGCGAAACTTGTTACATTCGTTGGCATTCTATTCGAGTGACGTTCACTCGAACTTGCTCAATTGTTCGAATTCACGTGCTAACAAGCGTTCTTAAAATTTTCCGTCAGCACGCACACAAGAGACACCACAGCGGCCCCGCAAACGTCAAAGTTCAAACGTTTGCCAATCATAGTAAGTGTCTGTCTTAGCCACCCGATAGGCACAGTTTAACAACAGGGTGGTGTCATTCCGTGCTGGAAGTCTTCACCTTGGTTGATCGCACTCTATGAGTCTCGTCCGACAAAGACCCCAGTTACACGGCTCAAATTCCACTTGTACGGGAAACATTCTCTTCCAAAATAAGCACCAGATCGCCAACTTTATCATTTTTTATCTTTTAGCCATTTCTCTCTTTCAATCAAAGTCGGTAAATTTTCATTGATCCACCTTTTCGACAAGACTTCGGTAAGGTAATGGATCGTTCTCCACTTTCCTTCCCAAATGTTCCTCCTTGACGAAAACACCTGCGGAGGCAATCCAGTCGCCTATCTTTGCAGCAAGAAGTGATTGGGGATCAATGCTTCCAAATCGGCAGGGTCATCCGATGCTGCTACAATCAGTCGGTTGTTCATAATGAATTCCACTTTGGTGAGCAATGTTCGCAATGCGAACTCACTGAGCTGTCTATCTCCTACGCCCGGAGGGGGGGAGGGGGGGAGGTACTCCCAGAAAAATTTGGTAGGGGTGTGCGGCCCGCTTACCAAAACCTTTACCCTATTTATGACCAAAAGCTGCGATATTCTCTACCCTATTTATGACCTGACCAAAAATTCGAAACCTTATTTATGACCTGACCCTTAAATCAAAACCCTGTTTCAGACCTGCGTTACAATTAGTTCCCTAGTTCAGACCAATGTTAAATTACCGTAAACATAATTTGTGAAGGGCTTTTGTTGATTTTCTTTTCGATAATAATGAAAAAGTGGCTTCTTCTTAAAAACATAACCTTATCAAGGCTAGAATGCAAAAACCATATCCTATTTCTGACCAGAACGGCTAAAAAACCATATCCTTTGGGGCCGCACTTACCTATATAGCCCATAAAAGGGAGTACCCCCCCCTCCCCCCAGGCTCCTACAGTAGCATTCAGATGCTTCTTTGCACTTTGCACTAGTGTTTTCCGGACTCCAGGCATCTGCGCCGCTGTAGGAGGGTGAAAAAGTCCACTTTACTCATGCAGTCTATCTTTAGTCCCTCTATCCGATCTGATCTCCGCGATCCTTGAAAGGTCCTCTCCGGCTGACAAACTATCACAAAGCTAGTTTCCAGTGGCGGCACTAGCTCCAGAAAAACGACTCGCGTTCAGTGTTAAACAGGTGAAAAGGCATCTCCAGCGTTTCGCTGAACCGTCTCGTCTGCGCCAGGATCATGGGCCAGACGTTCGTGACAGGGGCGAACAATCAGCTGACTAATGTGGTGCTTCTTGGGAGTTTGACTGGGTGTGTTTCGTCGTAGGACAATACAACTGTTTCCTCCAGCCGGCCTCCGACACACAGAACTCCCTCTGACCAGCACTGCTGGAACTCTTTAAAATGTGGTACCCTGTAGGCCTTGATGTCTCAACTCTTCAGCGAAGCTTGGGACCTGAACTAGCCTCATGATTAGCAGGGTTCTGTGGTGGCTCTTCCTGTGTTCCGAGAGGTGTTTCGGTTCCTTAGCCGATGGCAAATCAACCACGAGCTATGGCATGTCGTCACCTTGTAAACGGGCCAGTCGCTCACGCATCGAGCATCTCAGTCGAATTTAACGTCAGGGTTTTTAGCCTTGATTGAATGAGCTTGCACTTCGACTCAAACTTCAGGGTCATCCTGTGACGATACGCAATAGGTTACCATAGCAACAGTATGACTTCCTAAAAACACCGTTAATTACAGCTTTAGGGACTTATAATTCAAAAACGGCAGGGTGAAATTTTTTTATATTGTCAAGTTTTGATAAACATGATAAAACGCAACTTTTGGCAAAGTTTAAAAAAATTCTGTAGGTAGGTTTCAGAGCCACCTTACTTTTTCGAAAATATCAGTTGGAGCCATTAGCCGAAAGTATTTTTCACATTTGATGGCAGGTCTAGGCAGGGATTTTCATATTTTCGTTGCAAGGTCGATTGAATGCGATTTTTGGTAAGTGTAACAGTAATTTTCTGGTAAATCGAAGACCATTTTTGAAATGGGTGGACATGCATATTTCTGAAATTAGTGAAACATATATGGAACGGATGTGAATTACCGAAGCTGCTTGTGTTCAGTTCAAATTGTTTTACATTCAACCTCGTTCCCAGGGTCTTTTCCCTGGCTTGGGGGTGGGGCGGGAAAAGGCTCCCTTTTCCCGCCCCACCCCCAAGCCAGGGAAAAGACCCTGGGAACGAGGTTATTTTACATTTCCAGATCACCTCTGAAAATAATTGTTAATAAGCCTTTTTAAAGCAATTCAGCAATCGATGATAGTGAAGTTCCTAGGAGAAGAACATTGCTAGCGGACAATGTGGTCCAGCCACACCAAGAATAGACCTAAACTAAACTAGGTCAATCTATAGCTATTGACGAAACAGGACAGTTCACACACACCCTTTAGACAAAATAGTAAAAACATAGATCTACTAAATGTCATTGCTTACTTAGTTTTCAGGATGCCGGCAGTTTATGTCCTCTTTTAGATAGAAACACCACAATTAATTTGCCGAAACTGCGTGCTACTGTTTCAATTCAAAATAATTTCCACAAACACTATATAATTCATGGCTTCTATTGTTTTGACAATTGTTCATTCGGTAAACTTTAAACAACTTTACCAGAAGAATCATTACAGTCAACCTCTCTCTAGTTTCTAAGAGAATTCAAGTATATAGGAATGCATCATTTTGTATGCGAAAAAGCTAATTTTCTCTGAAAATTTGAATCCTCTGTTATGGTCTCCTTTTCGCGTCATTTCTTTTGAGCAAACTTAATCTGAAATACTCCGTTGAAAATTGAATTCAGATTGAACATTGCTTATTGAAATTGATCATGAAAATCAGAGAAATTTTCCCCTGCCGAGTGAAAACAGGAAGTTAAACTGTTAATAAAATCAACATTCTCCAGGGATGGCCCATGATCATAAGCAATGATTTGAAAACCATCCCACATAAGAGAAGAAAATTATAGTTTAAATCTTAAGATATAGACGGTCTTAAACTATTTCAGGCGTTCGGTTTGTAGGCTCCCAGTTGGTTTGCAGTCACGCTACGCACTAGGAGGTGTCACACAATATCAACATTTTTTCGTGCTTTTCATATAAACAAAAAAACACCTCAATAGATAAATTTACCTTGTTGAATTGAGTAACTGCATGAAGTTTCATAAACATTTGTTGCAAACTCATCAAAATTTTCCACGCAAACTTGCCAACTTTTACAAAGCATTTCTTCGTAAAAATTAGCAACTTTGGGTCCCATATTTTCATTAGTTTGCAACAGATTCTTATGAAACTTCGCATAATTACTAAACTTGGCATGAAAAATCGAGCGGTGAGCTTATTATTTGTTTGAATGGCAAATTCCAAAAACTGTGACATCGGTAACAAGGTCCATTTCTGAGACATTTTAGATCGGATGTGTTTTCGTGGCCGGTTTCCCAGTCATGTAAGCCGCTTATAGATCGAGCCCAATCAATTTGCAGTCCAACAGTTTTAGTCAGTGGATATTTTTTGTGGTAAAGGATGGTTAGTGATACCATTCCAGTGGGTCACGAATTTTTCTAATGTTCTTATTTTCTTGTTAGATGCCCATTGAGGAAGTGCTTCGAGCTTTTGCGGAGCAGAACTTTGACGGAAGTAACTATTACCCAATCTCCCACGGCCAAACGAAATCGATAAAACCTCTTGCTCTTGTGATTAAGAAACGCAGATCAGTGTTCAAGCGACCATTTGCCAAATCGGAATTCATTGTCATTGCATCATTAGACGATTACGTCGTGAAGGACAAAAGAGAGGAATTCACTGAGATCGTGAGTTCAACCCTTTTAAAAGAAGACAACTTAAAAATAGCGGAAGATGACGCGGAAGATGACGGAGCGAAAAGGTAACCGTGGTGTTTATTTATTTACTGCCAACAATATCTGGCCCAAATCAAGAGAAGTTAAGCTTATTCCCAAGGCATTGTCGTTTTTGTTCGCCCAGCACAAACCTTTTCTTCGAGAATTTCACACACATTCATCTTGGGATCAAATAAGTATGTATGATTGACATCAGTGGTCCCCTTTTCTCAAATGCAAATGGCTGATGCACAATGCACCGAGGCCTTTCAAGAAAAGGTGTGAGTAAGGACGTAGAAGTTTTCATTCTTGTCAGTTATTTTGAGTTTGGAAAGATTTTTCAGTTGTACAAAATTTGAGCTTGTTGTGTTGAGTTTTAGCTTTTACCGCGTAAATATTGTTTCACGCCAGGCCACGCCAGGCCACGCCTCGCCAGGCCACGCCACGCCAGGCCACGCCACGCCAG